CTACAGAATGCCTGAGTTTCCTACAGAACGCCCGAGTTTCCTACAGAACATAACCTGATGCTATGTGGCATTTACTGAATAACATATATTTTATATAGCTACAATGGAAAAAGTTTGAAAAGAGCTTGTTTGTTAGAGTGATTATTTACTGGAGTGTTTTAGTGTTAACATGTATGTGAAATGCTTCAGAGAAGATTGATATAGCTTCAACAGATTCAGTCATCTGGGGTGGGCACACACAGTATGGCAGAGCAGGAAACTTGTAGTAAGGCTCAGGTTATAGCATGTGTGTATATATATTTATATACATACACATACGTATAGCATATTGTCGTGGTTTAAACCCAGTCAGGTAACTTGTTCACTCACTCCCAGTGGGTGGTGCTGAGCTGACAACAATCGAGGTCCGTGCCCTCCCCCCACCGGGATTCTCCCCGACTCCCGGAGGAACGGGGAGGAGGATCGAAAAAATGCAACTCCCACAGGTTGAGACAAGAACAGTCCAGCAACCAATGTACACAAATCACCACCGCTACTATCAACTACAGCAATGATAAGGGAAAATAACAAGGGAAGAGAATACGATACCACCGGCCAAGAAAACGAGTTCCACCCGGAAGCCCGTGTCCTTCCGGGTAACTCCCAGTTACCCCCCACCCCAGCCATGATGTGCTGTGGTATGGAATACCTCTTTGGCTAGCCCGGGTCAGGCGCCCCATCTCTGCTTCCTCCCGGCTTCCCCTCCTCCCTGGCAGAGCATGAGCCTCACAAAGTCCTTGGTCAGGGTAAACATCACTTAGCAACAACTGAAAACATCGGCTTCACCAGCACTGTTCTCAGGCTGGAAGTCAAAACACAGCACTGCACCAGCTACCACAAAGGAAAAAAAAAAAACAAAAAAAAAAACATGACTGCTACTGCTGAACCCAGGACACATATACATTGGAAAGACTTGGTGACTAAGGCAGCCCTTTCCATTGCGCCGCTGCACTGGAAAAAGCCTGACCTTGCATCCATCTGCAAAGTGAATAACTCTATGAATATTTGTTGCTGTCACTGTGAGTCCAGGTCACTGAGTGATATGTAGGATCTTTGATCTCTTATTGTTAATAAGTATATTTACACAGTATAAAAGAGGCCTCGTGAGGCTTGCTTGACCTGTGTTTCTATTGTGTTTAAAGTTTTTGTATATGCTAACCATTAAAATGTGAAGTATTGTAAATTGCTTCATTTACTGCTGAAGTGGAGATCCTCATGACTAATGACAAAAAGGAGGAGAAGGAAGATCATACCTATCTGAAACTTTGGAAATGGCAGAAACACTGGCATTTTTCTATTTGGGTTTTGCTAGGTCACAAGTCTGCTCCAGCGTTGTCTTCTCTCCATGGATCACAGCATGGATGTCTGCTGCAACATGGTCCTCCATGGGCTGCAGGGGAATAAGTGTCACCATGTTTCTCACCCAGGGCTGCAGGGGAATCTTTGCTCTGGTGTCTGGAGCACCTCCTCCCCCTCCTTCTTCACTCACTTTGGTGTCTGCAGAGCTGGTTCTCTTGCATTTTTCTCACTCCTCTCTCTCACAACTCATATGCAGAATTTTTTACCCTTTCTTAAATATGTTATCAAAGGGGTACCACCAGCATAGGCTTAGCTTTGGCCAACAGCAGGTCCATTTTGGAGGCAGCTGAAAATGGCTCTAACATGGGGGCAACTAGTGGTGTCTTCTAAGAGAAGCCACTGCTGCAAGCCCCACTGCTATCAAAACTTTGTCATGTAAACCCAAGCCTTTTATTCTGAACCAGACCTAAAAATACGTCTCTGCTTTGGGTACCTGGTGGCAGAGTACTACAGTGCTGTATCACAGAATGCTTATTTTAACTTTTAAAATAGCCATCTTGCCCATATGGGTAAGAACATTACATGGAAGTAGTGGGATTATCCTGACATAAAAAGTCTTTTTTCCCCCCTGCCTTAGAAATACATCTATTGCCCTTAAAAATCTCTATATTGGACAATAATTCTTTTTTTTTTTTTTTTTTTGCAATGTGAATGGATCATTCCACATCCATAGCAATGAGAGTCCTTAGTTCTACATGCCCTAGAGTGTCACTGCTTCAGACAGCTATATGGTCTTTTGGGGATCTTCATCTTAGATCTCTGCCTGAGTGTATCCACCTTTGCTCTGCTCAGGAGGAGACTGGTGCATGTTAATGACCCACATATGACTGAAGTTCTTGAAAGACATTATATACAGCCTGCACTTACCTTCTGGCTGCTGCTGTTAAAATTTCAGCAGTGCCCCAGCTTCTGGTTTACAGCAACCTTGAGGTATGCCTGCACTTGCCTTTCTCAAATCCAGGACTGCAGTTGCAATGCAGTTGAGCCGAGCTCCTGGAAATACAGTGTAAACATCAACCTCAGTGCTGGGTTCTGAAACCTTTCCATGAGGCTCAGGCTGCAAAAAATGACACAATCTTTTATTATGTGCAACTGATTTTTTAGCTATAATTAACATGATTCCTCACTTGGAAGTTATCCATGATGTAACAGTGTTGCTGTAGAATAGGAATATGCCTGGATGTCATTCCTTACCTTGAAAAATTAATCTGGAACCTTGGGAAGAGTCTGGGCACTTCTGTTTTCCAAGAAATCCAAACTCCTAACACAGCCTTCAGGGTCTGTCATGGCATTTTCAAAGTGCTACTTATCTGGATAACTCCTGCCTGACTTTCAAACTCGCTGGATTTTATGCCTTTTGAAGTAGATCTTCTGCAGCAGTGTTTTTTGCGGGTAAGAGAGGGCAAAGTATTTTCTGGATCATGAAAAATAGTGACTGGAAAGTAAAATTTTCCATTTTGCTTTTTATGAATTTGTTCAAGAAACAGTAAGTGGAACAGGATGCCCAAAGAAGTTGTGAATACTCCATCCCTGGCAGTGTTCAAGGCCAGGTTGGACAGAGCCTTGGGTGACATGGTCTAGTGTGAGGTGTTGCTGCCCATGGCAGGGGGGTTGGGCCAGATGATCTTTTAGTTCCCTTCCAACCCAAACCAGTCTATGATGCTATAGCTGGTAGCAGTTTGCAGAGCTAGTCATGCCAGCTGCATGAAAAACCCCATCCTATTGCTGGGAACCAGAGTTTTCGAAAGAAGTAGAAGAGCTGACCAAGACAACAGCCACCACCCTTCCAGCTCTGCATCTCACCATGGAGATTTGTTGATTTTCAGGGGTCCATTTTCTTTCCAGATCTTTGGAATATCCCACTGCTGTGTATGAACCTGCAGAAATGCCTTTTTCCATGGGCCATAGAGGATGGTGAACCAATTGGCTAGGGTAAATCAGAAAAATACCCAAAAGGGCTGTAGTGATAGCTGTATTTTCTCAAGGTTTGATATTTTATTGACTTAATTTACTTTTTAAATAGCTTTTTATTACTTCCAGCTGAAAAAATAAATAGCAAGAACAGCAACTTGACAATTTTTATCAATCTGGTTATTTCTCTTCATGATAAATACAGAGCAGAACCTAGTTGTACTGGTTTAAAAACCCAAACCTGAACTTTGCAACTTGCTTCTTAAAATCACTTTCTTGTCCCCTTTCCAGCAAAGATTCTATTTCCATCTTTAGTTTGGCCACGAGATGGCAATAACTTGCAGACAAAATACTGAAACAGCCAGACAGATTTGAAACTCTCCCTTCCCAAGCTCTTCCCTGTGCTCTTCCCCCTCCTCTTTTGTTTCAATATTTAATTGCATTTATTTCGGAATTACTAGGCAACCCACCCCCAGATGTGGAATTTAAAGGTGATGTGCTTGCAGTGAGATTTTCAGGATCTGCTCAGCAGAGCACCATCATGTGATACTGGGATAAGGTGGAGTTCGGCTTTAAGGGGGAGTCTCCAGCCTTCCTCACCAATCTTTAGGATCTCAGCTGGAGGAATATCAGAGGATCTTTCCCTGCTCCTACTCCATCCAGCCTCCTGAGCCAGCCCCATAGCAGACCAAAGGCAGACAGAGCAGTTGCAAGGTGAGTTTCCCCTGAGGTTTCTTTCCTGTGACTGTGGGTGGCTGCGTCCGGTTTGGCCGGTGTTTGCTTGCTCTCTTATGTGCAGATGACAAAATCCCAGGCAGGGGCAGGCTCCAGGTTGGACTTGAGAGTGGCTGGGTTAACCATCGCCTTGGACAGTTTTGTGCTTCATTTCAAAGAGCTCCAATAGCTTTACAGTGTATTTCCAGTCACCTCACAAAACGTTATTTCACCCTTTCTGTCTCTTGGTGCTAAACTTTTGACTCCTGGAGAGTAAGAAAGGTGTGTGTGCTGGGGGAGACTGTGCAGTCCCCTGGAGGGTCTGTGGGCTCTTCTGATGCCACTCCGGCATCCAGCATGGAGAGGGATCTCCCTCCTGGCTTGGGAACTGGTGGGACAGGGGACAGGGAGCCATGCAGCTGCCCAGAAGATGCAACTTCATCCCCCTCCTGATATCTGGCCCATTTTGGAGTGGTGGGCAGGAAGGAAGGACATCAGTGCTGTGTTTCTGAGCCGTGCCGTTAGGTAGCATCTCTGCTACAGGGCGAGGCAAGAGAAGAAGGAGCAGTGGCATTTTCTGATTTTGAGTCTGATATTTAGTAAATAAGGAAGAGCAGAGCTTGGCTCAGAGAAAAGAAAAATTAAGAGCCTGAAACATATGTCACCTCATTGCTGGGTGCAGTCCAGTCCCAGCTGGTGAGAAAACCTGCCCAGTTCTCTCCTTGCAGCACATGGCTCCTCACCCACTTTGCTCCTGCCACCATCCCATCAAGTTCCAGGTTTGGACTGTCCACCTCATGCTTTGTGAGTGACAGTGGAGGTCATGATGTAATCCACATGCTGATTGTCAGGCTGGGGTAAAGTCATACTTTCGGAATTGAGGAGTCCTGGCTCTCCACATCACCCACATGCTTCCCCTTCTGCCTCTGGCTAAAGTGATGTTTCAGGAGGCACAGGGGGTGGGAGGTTGTTTAGCCTTTGTGGACTAGGGAGGCAAGATAAATGTAGTTAGCAGAGGCAGCAGGTCTCAGAGATAATGCTCAGGTGTACACCTATCCAGCTTGAAAACTAGAGCAAACAAACCTTAGCAGAAATGCCTTTTGTCTGAAATCACTGATATTAACTTTGACAGTAAAATGTCAATGTCAAGCTACACCGCCTGTTGCAGTTTTGTGTAGCCATGTGGTGACTATAAAGAACCAGCACAGTTAGCTGAGGTGAGGTCATGATGCCAGTGAGAAGACATGGCACTGGCAAGGACATTATTTGCCTGACCCTCATGAGGAGATGCAGCTGCAAGCCCAGCCCTCACGTATTGACTCTGCCCCAGTGAGGAGGCAACCCCAGCTTTGGTCTTCAGCAAGTGGCTGGTTAAAAAGGTGTCTGCCACGCTAGAATCATAGAATGCCAGGTTGGAAGGGACCTGAAGGATCATCTGGTCCAACCTTTCTAGGCAAAACATGACTTAGACTAGATGTCCCAGCACCCTGTCCAGCCAAATCTTACGTGTCCAATGTTGGGCACTCCACCACTTCTCTGGGGAGATTATTCCAACGGCTGATTCTTCTCACTGTGGAAAATTCCCCTTTGGTATCCAGTGGAAATCTCCCCAGTAACAAAGCAAGTGACAGGCAAAGATCATTCTGCTCTGGAGACTTAGAAGGCACTGAGATTTATATTGAGTATTATTTAAGACCAAAAGCTCACCCATTCAGGGTAACTTTTAATGAAGTACATTTTAGTGGGCAATGTTTTTACAGCTTCTGTGATAACTGCCATATGGAGCCGGGTTTGAAACCCACTTGTGTGAATTTTAAGTAGCATTACTTTCATTATTTTAACCTAAGGTTAAGTGAGCCATAAATTTGGCTCATGGGAGAGCGTGCACAGAGGGAAGGTTCCAGATTCAGCGCAGCTGCCACTGATGAAGAGTTGGAGTAAAGGTGTGCCAGGTTACTTGATTTCTTTCTTTCTTTTATTTTTCTCCCTCCTGAACAGGTATGCCCGAGTTTCTCTGCTATTAAAATTCAAGGCCTTGCAAAAAGGTTGTCATTTAGGCAAGTCTATTTGTGTTGCTTGGATAAAAAAAAATCTGAGTGTTTAATTTTTGCTGTTTTATCTTTCATCTTGTTTTGTTCTTTCTTTGCTGCACAGTGCTGCTAGCTGAGATTAAGGTGTTCAGAGTTCCTGATTTGCCGCTGACTCAGTGCCAGTGTTGCTGTGGGCACTCAGCCGCTCAACATCAAGTGAACATTATTAGGTAAAAGGGAATGCAGCAATTTTTCGAATCGTTTTTCCAACCCTCACATTAGTCAGATGGGTTTTCCCCCCTGCTTATGTGATTGCTGGTTATAATTCCACTTAGGTAATCTTAAGAAAGCAGACCTCTGCAGTTTAAACTTGTACAAAGGAGGTGTAAAACGTAAAGTAAAGGCTACGCTGCTGGAAGACTGACATTGCTTCTCAGCTTATTTCGGGTAACTTGTGCCGGCGGGAATGGGTCTGGAATAGTTCGGGAAAGGGTCGCGTTCCAGCCTGCAGACCCGCAGTTTGATCCCGCCTTCTGCCTTCCTTCCCGCGGACCGTGGTGCCCGCTCCCACCTCGGACCAGACGATACGGACGCCGCCGTCCTCCCGCGGGGTTTCCCTCCCCACCCGCAGGGCTGTCTCTAAACATCCCACCCGCGGTCCGGGCCGTCCCTCGGCACCGGCGGGGGGAATGGCGGCGCGCATCCCGCCGGCAACGGGCGGTTCCTCTCCCCGCGGGACCCGGGGGCGCCGCGGCTCCACGCCGGGGGGCAGGCGTGCGTGTGTCGGGGCGGGCAACGTGCCCGGGGTTGACGGGCCCTGCTCCCTCCCTTCTCCCCAGGTGGTGCGAGGGGGATGCGGCACCGAGGAGCGGGCTCGGCAGAGGGTCCCCTGACGGGCACGGTTTGAACGCCGGGAGCGCTTTGGATGCCGGCGGCGGCAGCAGCGGCGGCTGTGAAGATCGTGGAGAGTTGGAAACGACATGAATTCTTCGGTTCTCACCCCGCTGGGAAATATGACCGGTCTTCTGAATTTTTCAGAGAAGAACTCACAGTTCTTGCAGTTTGAGGATGAAGATTGCCATGTGCCTTTGGCCATGGTCTTTACTTTGGCCTTGGCTTACGGCACTGTGATAATTCTGGGAGTTTCTGGGAATCTGGCCTTGATTGTCATTATTTTAAAACAGAAGGAGATGCGCAATGTTACCAATATCCTCATAGTCAACCTGTCCTTTTCTGATCTTTTAGTGACCATCATGTGTCTTCCCTTTACCTTTGTGTATACTTTAATGGACCACTGGATTTTTGGGGAGGCCATGTGCAAATTGAATCCTTTTGTGCAATGTGCCTCAATTACAGTCTCAGTCTTTTCTTTAGTCCTCATTGCTATTGAACGCCACCAGCTGATCATTAATCCTCGTGGCTGGAGGCCAAACAACAGACATGCGTACATGGGGATTGCTGCCATATGGATTTTAGCCACAGCTTCGTCTTTGCCTTTCCTGATCTACCATGTGTTAACAGATGAACCCTTCAGAAACCTAACATTTGATGAATATAAGGACAAATATGTGTGCTTGGATCTGTTCCCTTTGGACACTGCTAGGCTCTCTTATACCACAACGCTTTTAGTGATTCAATACTTCGGACCGCTTTGTTTTATATTTATTTGCTACTTGAAGGTAAGAGACAATCCTGTCGCAATATGTACATTTTCTGTCTGTTTTTCTGTTTATCCTTGCAAAGTTGATGGCTGTAGGTTAAATTATTCCACATTTCTCTATTTTGAATTTCCTGCAGATATACATACGGCTGAAAAAAAGGAACAACATGATGGACAAGATAAGAGACAGTAAGTACAGATCCTCTGAAACCAAAAGGATCAACATCATGCTGATCTCGATAGTGGTTGCCTTTGCAGTTTGCTGGCTGCCCCTCACAATCTTCAACATCGTCTTTGATTGGAATCACGAAATTTTGCCTGTTGCTACCTGCAGCCACAACCTATTGTTCCTGATTTGCCACCTCACTGCCATGATCTCTACCTGTGTGAACCCCATCTTCTATGGGTTTCTCAATAAGAACTTCCAAAGGGACCTGCAGTTTTTATTTCACTTTTGCCATTTCCGCTCCCGTGAGGAGGATTATGAGACTATAGCCATGTCCACCATGCACACAGATGTTTCAAAAACCTCTTTAAAGCAGGCAAGCCCAGTCGCATTTAAAAAAATAAGTAGTGATGATGATGACAAAATATAAAGAAGTAATAAATATTCTACACCCAACTGCTGGAAGTGTGATTGCAGGTGAAACATGTCCAAGGACAAGCACAATTACATAACAAGAACAGAATGGGTAGTGTTTTTCTTCTTTTTCCAAGGAACTTTGATTGTTGTCACTTTAAAATTGGACGCTGTGCATTTTTGCCCCTTTTACTGCTTTAATGTTCACAGCAGTTACATCTGAATCTTATTATAAGACATAGTCAGACCTGCTACTACCTATGGTTTTCATCAGCTGTTTTTTGTTCTCTTCTCTTTGTACAGTTATGAGCTTTAGCACAAAGACATATTTATTGATTTTTTTTCTTTCAAAGAAGTGCTTTTCAGGAGTGTCCGTCTAAGACCATTAGAAGCAATATGAACCCCAGGAAAGCTGTCACTACAGAGGACACACATCCCAGCATAAAATTAGGACATTCTGATTTGAAGAGTTTTTTTTTTTTTTAAATCCAGTTTTTGGTTGATGTAAAAATCCTGTAAAATCAGCCTAGGCATGCAGAAAAATGATTCTGTGAAACCTGTAGAATATGTTAAATGGGGACATGCAGTTGTCTCATTCATAGAGTCAATTCAGGCTGTAATCACTTAGGTTCAAAGACAGGATTGAGAGAGAGATTTTGTTCTCAGTTAAGAGAATAAAACCCTACAGTAATTCCACAGAGAAGGAGATAACTCTGATGTTTCACAGCAGCCAATGAAAGCACAAACAGACCTTCAGTCCCAACTGATTGCAGATGATTGCAATATTACAGGCTTTTTAATTTAAAAAAACCAAACCCCATTTTCATCTGCTGTCACTGACAGGAATTAGTGTGGCTGGGATTATTTGTATTATCTATCCCAATCCTATGAACCATGTAAATTCGCCTTGAGATGTGTGTCCAGAATCTAAAGGGAGATGGGACTACTCACTGTCTGGACAAGGTGCAATTAAATCCTCACAGGTGGCAGTGAAAAATCAGGTATGGTATTAAAAAAATTAAGCTTTAGCTATCTGAGGCTTTTCACAATAATTAGTGCTGATCTATATAAATTATGTATAGGCTTATAATATTGTGTGTTCAGATGCAATGGTATAAACCTGGATTATCTCCAAGACAATGAATGGTTTAATCAAGATCTGCAGAATTTAAAAGGAGGATATGAATATAGTTTGGGTGTAATCGGCATGTTTAGCTTCCAAACTCACAGTGGTTACAGTTGGTTGAAGTGCAGAAATATTTGACAAATACACAAAATAGAGCTCTGTTATTGCTTAAAGTATATGTACTTTAATTACACGAAATATACACAAGTAGATCCCCACCTGAGGGAAACCCACATAACTTGATTGCTGTAAGTGAAACTACAATATCCACCAGCTGAGTTTCTGTGTCATACAGTGTACTTTGCTGTATAATCAATGCCTTTTTGAATAATCAGCTTTTTAAAATACAACGTAGACCTTACTGTCTTTTCGCAAGGTCACTTTAAACCATTCTGGCAGAGAAGAAGGTCTTTGAAATGTCTATAAATGTAAATGTAGCACAAATGGCAATCTGATCTGATGTCTCTCTGAACAGAAACCATCTCAGGATGTGACGGTAAATTTAATATGTTCTAAATTTGACAAGGATAAATGCCTAAGAAATGAAAATTATTTGGTTTGCCAGTATTTAAAAGTCAAAAACTGTGCCTTGTGCTGTCCTATAAATAGTGTAGAATATTGAAGTAGCAATGTGTTCTTGTGCATTATAATTCCATGTATTTCTCTACTGGCAGGTAATATAATTAAAAAGGAGGTTTCTGTGGTTGAGGACAGACAGGGAATGTAGAAAATGAATTATAAGACAGAACTTTCTTTTAGAGCTTTGCAATTTTGTATTTTATGAGATTTCCCTTTTCTTTGTGGCTCCCTATGGAACATGTTGCTAATAATTTGACCATGGTCTCCTGAAATTATTTCCTTATTACTTTACAGTAATTTTCACATGCTAAGGGGGGTGCATTTTCACAAAGAGATACAATGTAGAAAACCAACCAGGCTTTTCTATTAAGAATTTCACAGATGGCTTTTCCCATTAGGAGTAAAAAAAAAAACCCATCACAGTGAATTTTATGTTTTGGTGTTTTTTTTTCCCCACTTTTTTTTTGGAAAAAAAAAACAACAAACCCAAGCAGAAAAACAATCCTCTTCCAATCCAATGGAAGAAAAAAACCAGAATTATTTGCAAAAGCTCCCAGTTAGTTTGCTGGAAAATATTTGATGAGGCTAAACTATGTATTTTTACAGAATAGGCATAGGAGCAACTTTAGATAACTGCTGGTGAGCAGAGATACGAAACTGGTGTGTCCTGAGATTTGGAGATATCCAGTGGGTTAGCCGCGTAATTCCTAATGTGTCAGACTTTCTCCTGTTTGAGGCACAGTCTCAAATCATACAGCCAAATCTTATACCATCTCATACTTTCTCCCGAGGTTTTTTTTTTTTCTCCTACATTTCTCCTGAGAATGTGTGTGAAGTGTTTTTTGCTACTAACGCCTGATAAAGTGAGGTATAAACAGGAGCATTCCCTTGTATCAGGAGACATTTTCTGCTGTCCTAGGATGAGGCTTCTCTTATACGTTCCCTTACTTCCCTGGAAGAAGCCTTTCTGAGCCTCTGCTAAAGACACAGGCTGGCACATCACACAAATAGCACAGTGGATGCAGCCTGAAATGACAATGGAAATGAAAACAGTGGAAGGAATGTTCAGCAGGAAAACACACTTGGAGATTTTCAGAAGCAAAATCACTGCTCTTCTGAAGAATTTGTTGTGAGGACAAAGATAATAGTCTCTCTGAGGTGCTGCCCTGACATCTGCAGGGCATAGATGACATCTATTGAGAGCACTATTTTTGTCTTTGGTTTCATGACTTCACACTGGAGTCCTCAAAACCCACTGGAGACTTTCGCCTCCTGACACCTGGCTAGAACGCTAATCCTCTTTTTCACTTTCAGAGCTCCAGCATGGCTTCTCATCCTCTACATACTACATTCTTTTACAGGGTAAGCTGACAGGTTTCATGCTTCTCTATCATTTCTCAGTCATTCTGGTTTGATATTTGTCCCTCCTAGGTGCTCTTTTGTCAAACTCCCTACACTTCAGCACATGCTGATTCCTAGCTCAAAAGCCTGAAGATCCCTCTTATTCTTTCAGACTAGTAGAAAAGTTTTACTGATAGAAGAACAGAACAGTGAGGGATCTATAACCTGTCTTACTATTTATGTGCCATACATTTCATGTCAAATTTACAGCCTTAAGTCACAAATACAACTTTTTAATAAACATTACTATCTGCTTCATTTGTCAGTTATTTTGTCATCTTAGATTTCACTTGCAACCACCATAGGCATTTCAAGCTTCTGCATGATCTAAATACAACTGCATATTTGTATGTCTTTTTATCAAATACTTCTGTATTCCCATATTGCTTTTTTTTTTTTTTTTACATATTTCCTGGTTGTATCATTGTCATTAAGTACAGTAATCCACAACTTTCACATCTTCCTTTAAAAAAGGGTAATAGTGAAGAAAGTAACTAATTGACAAAAATATCTGCTTTTGGTAGGCTAGGAAAAAAATGGATATTAAAAACAACAACAGCAACAACAACAAAAAAACAACACCCCACCCCAAGATCCCCACCTATAAATCATATTTCAACCAGAAAAAGGAATTAACTTGATAGGACCCCTCAGGTCACTTGAACTGATGCTGACTGCATCTCAACACTGTTGAAGGTGTGCAGGGCTAAGGGTTCACATATTCTAACTCTGATATCTTGCAGTACAGTACCAGCTATTATTAATGGATGCTAAAGGCAAAATTTGATACCAACTCTCATTCAGACTGCAAATCAGCATATGTTTAAATCCAGACCTGTTCATCAAATTCTGATTCTGACCTCAGGAAAATGTTCTGAGATCAGTGAAACTGGAGAATTTGCTTAATGTCAGTCATTTGCCTAAGTGCTCTATTGAATAAAAGTACACTGCTGTCTGACAGCTCACACTCTTTCCTAAAAATCAGATTCTGGATTTCAGCTTATTAAAGAAATAAATGGTCTATAGTTTTTCTCAGGATTTTTCTTTGGATTTTCTCTGGAATCCAGTACCTGACAATGCTTCAGTTTAAGGCTTTGCTTCCTAAATCTTTCTATCAAAAAATTCACCAAACCATTGCCTAGAGAATTAAGATAATAAGGAAACTTTCTTTTTAAAATTATTTTCTTATTTTTAAAACATACTTAATAGCAGGAAATGTGATCTTAAATAATACCTCTGTCTGGAATGGATTAAATTCATTCAGCTGAGTAGAAAGGGTGGAGAAATAATAATTGTAAAAAAATTATAAATTTTGTCGCCAGCCATTTCTCAGCTGAGGGATACATATAACTCAAAGCTCTACCATGTCCTCTCCATTACTGTGTTCTTTAATATGTGGTATTTGCTTCCCTGAGTCATTGCTAAAGACCCAAGCCATTACCAAAGTTGATGTAAAAGAAAATTCTTCTGTGTTTTTCTGGATTCCAGTGTTCAAGGATTACATGTAAGAAACAAAAATATGACCAGTTTTGGTCTCTTACACTTTAATTACCTGTGATCAGAAATAACTTCTGTTCAGTATTTCTGCTCTTGCAAAACAGTGTTAATGGTCTAATTGAAGTTAATGTTTCAAATATTAGTGAAAACATTCACAAAGCCTAACTTCAGGATGGCAGAATTTATAGCCTTCTCCAATGGCAACCTGAAGACACTCACACCTGATCTACTTCAAGTATTATACACCTACCAAAACGTCTTTCTCTCCCTTACCTGTGCAGGCTACTAAGGGACGGACAGCTTCCCAGACCTAGCACTAGGCCTAGTGACTACTGCCTTCCTTCTTCCATCCTCCATGGTGCTTCTGCAGTCACTTCATGTTTCATTCCCTTGGCAGCTGGTTTCTGAGGAAGTCATAGGAATTTATGTTCTTTGTAAAGAGAAGATGGTAAAATTCATCTCTATTCAGGACAGTGCTTTAAATAGTTTCTTCCATTAAAACTATCTTCCGGCAAGTTTCTGGTAGGCAAGTTTCTCAAAATTTGCACTCCATAGAAGTATGTAATTTACAAAGCCTGCACAGGAATTATGTCTATACAGAACATCCAGCTCATTGCAGCAAAATTGGCAGCACACACTGTCTTATGTTTTCCAAAGACCTGGGTTGATG